GTATTCGTATTTGTGAAGACTCTACAACTACAAAAACGAACAATACATAAAAGACCATTATAGTGCAAAAACTTCACTATTTCATTTTTACGACTGATAGAGAGATCTAGATGAGAATGAAGGAACCTAATAACATACAACCAAAATCAAACTAAAAAGCTAGACAAAAATTGATAAACTTAAAAAGCAGGCTGAAAAAAATACTGGGCGAAATACAAAAAGGTATTGTTAAAATACAGCAACAGACTAGTCAGGAAAAATACCAAATTAGATGAAACCTTTCGTCTTTTTTCAATTTCACAACTTAAATCGGTATGATATTGCCTGCAAAAGTGCAATTCGCTGGGGAAAGAAAAGAAAACATCCGCTTTAGCCAAACAAAACGCAAAAAAAGGCCCCTGTCGCATATACTTCCCGATACTTTCTAGCTCTACCTTAAATTATGAAACGACTAAGTAAAAAATATAGCAGCAATTCAAGAATAATAAGCGGAATGACCGATAAGCATACTAAAAAATTTTCAAAATAGGCTAGCAGGAAACTGCCAGTAACGTATCATCATTCTAAAAAAATTTTCTTTTTGTAAAATTTGAGACCACTAGAAGCGACATAAAGGTCAAATAATAACTGTTATTGTAAGGTTTTCAATGACTCATCCAATTATACCACTCAGAAGGAAATTAATCACAAAAACAAACGAAATATTTTTTTTTCATTCGAATTAGTTTGGAATGCCAAACGCATGCTTCTTCTTGCTCCATAGAAGGCTTCTGAAAAGTTTACCTTCTTAAATTCTTTGTTTGATAAACAAAAAAAAAAAAAAACATGAAAATCCGCAACAAAACCAGTAATAAACACTTGAACAGGAAATAGTACAGCAACAACGAAGGCTTCGATAACTCATTAGCCAAATCCGCTGTTCTTGCCATCCATTTGCGGACTGCTCTGTATAAGAAGAAAATCAAAATTCGAGAACACTTGGTCCACAACTCCAAAGTTAAAGATCTCGACCAGTTAAATAGCTTAAAAACTTGTATTCAGCAAAGTTCACCGTCAGCCTTAGCTTTGCCAAAAAACCAGGAGATTTCTGTTTGGGAACCCAAAATTCCTTATGCATCTCGACAGAAAAATACATTTTAACTTGGCAACCTGCCAGCACCGCTTGAATTTTTTTCACTATGTCTAATTTCTTGCCGTCGTCATCACAGGCTGTATTTTTACCTGAAATTAATGGTGTGTAAGAATCGCCCATATTTTCTGGTGTACTTTTCAAGACCATTTTTTGAAATTAATAACGATTTAATTTTATACACCGTTTAGGCTATTGTGCTCTGAGGATTTTGAGTATTCTTCAAACTTTCGGCGATCAATATCACCTGATTATAACACACTTGGAGTATCTAACATTAGGTGTAAGGAGAAGACTGAGTGAGAGTCACTTGTGGAAGGAATATTAGGTGTGACTGAGTCACTCAGGAGACCTGAAGCATCTGGATGAATTGGATAATAATTAATTGAAGATTGAGACTTATCGTTTTGAAAATGGTTGTGTTCTTTTTTGTATTTTGAAAGTGTTCTATTCTTCGTTCAGTGAAATTCATTATTTTTCCTCTTAAACAGACGTTTCAC